GCTGCTTGCATTTTGAGCTGGATGATTCTTTGTGGAGTAGGGTTCTGTCCTAGTATTGGAGGCTGTTCAGCAGCATTTCTGGATCCTACCCACTAGATGCCAGAAGCATAACTGCTTTGTGTCCCCCGTTACAACAACTGAAAATGTCTCCAGACTTGGCAATGTGAACTCTTGTGGATGGGGGGAAGGGACAGGCAAATGTGAAGTTTACCTTGTGTATAATATACTCTGTAATTTCCACATACTCTGCATTCCAGGGGCCTTTTGCAGATACAAGTGATATTCTACCCGAGCAGTCACAACATTATTTTGAATAACATTTAAGGGAACTGACTTTTTTGCACTATTGAAAGTGGTGGTACTGGGATTTGAACTCAGGACCTTGTACTTGAGCCATGCCTCCAGTCCTTGAAAGGATATTTTTTTTAAAGGTTAGGGAACTGAGATAGAGAATAAGAAATTACCCAGAAAACTGTTTCTTTCCATTACTAAACACACTATTATATCAAGACACAGAGATTTAGCACTTGGATCTGTTATCGTGAAGTCACAGTACAATATTAACAATAACAGCAGCAGCTGTCACCTACTGAGTGCTTGTGTGTTCTAGGTTCTGTGCTAAGCATTTAACAGACTTTAGTCAAGATCCATAACGTCACTTGGAAGTAAAAGAGGAGAAAAGTCAAGGAACTTGCTCAAAGAAAAACTATGTCCTTCTGAATTACATAATTACATAAAATTTTTAATGCCTTTGATGAGTTTTTTCACCTCAGATACTTAATGCACTGAATGAGGAATTCAGCATAGTATTTTCATAGTTTAACCTATTATTTCACACTGATCTTAGAGGTAAAGGATAATTTGCATTTCATGCTGTGAGAACCACACACTAAGTACACATATATAATGAGTGTGTGCGTGCATGCATGTGTTTAGAGAAATGATATAAACTACAGTTGTAAAGCTTGGCTGGCAGAACTAGTAGGCATTTCACAATCTATTAAAAACTCTGCAAAACAATAGAACAATGAAAACTTAAGGCAAACCTTATTTATTTATTTATATTTTGGGAGTGGGATTTAAATCAGGTCCTTGCACTTGCAAAGCAGGCATTCTATTGCTTGAACCACATCTTCAGTCTAAAGACAAACCTTTCAATATTGGGCTGGTGGAGTGGCTCAAGTGGAGGGGCCTGCTTAGCAAGTGTGAGGCCCTGAGTGCAAATTTCTATACTACAAAAAAAAACCCCAAAACTAAAAACAAAACAAACTTTCAACAATGAATTCTACAATGCTAGGAGAGCAGTGCTGAGCACTGTGAACTTTGTGCAATTCAGCTCAGTTTACATGTGTGCACATTTATTAAAGACAATTCCTAATTTTTGGTGACAGGATACTACAAGAGTATGGAACACAAATCCAGAGAGAAGTCAAAAACCTCACTTAAAGGAAGAATTTCAAGCAGTCTCTAACAAGCCAGAGGTGTTTACAAGGGCTTATTTCAGCTGACTTTCTTGAAGCCCTTGTTACTTACCATCTGGGAAAGATGCTAATATGAATTAAAATGGCTTAAAAGTCCCACTAAGAAGCCTGGAAAAATATATTGGATAATTAGTGCCTGACATAATTGGAACTTTTCCATAATACTTCTTAATAACTAGACATTTCTACTCATCTTTAGCAAAAGGAAAACAAAACCAGTACATTTTATGGCCATTTGTGGTTGTTCATGTTGTTTGAATTCTGGCTTATTTCTGGAAGATGGCTGGTGGATCACCCTAAACAGGCTCTTTGGTGTACTACCAAAAAACCAAAAAAACCCCAAACATAACAAAAAGAACCCTCTTCTTCCAGATACAGATTACACATTAGCCTCTCGGATCCCATGCAATTGAAGTGACAAGGACCAGGGAACCCAGCTGCTTCTACTAACAGTAACAGCAAGCAGTCCATTCTTTCCAAGACCTGCATGACCGACATAAGTAATAGTTATCCTGTTTTCTCCTCAAACAACAAACGAAATTGTTTCTCTCCAAGCTAATTGGAATGAGAATGGTAGTGTGCTCTGTGAGCAACTTGCTTGATTTTTGAATACATTCATGTGCACGCATGCCATGTACACACACAGCCTAGAGCACAGATCCTAACTCTGTCCAGCTTTAATGGAATTCTTCCCATATTCACTCAGGCTGGTAGATGTTCACAAGACTTCTCACCAACTGAGACCTTAAGAGTATGCAGCTGCTGGTTGGGCATAGAGGGAGAATCAACACAAGATGGCCACACTCTGGTTGTGTAATGTCCCTCCCTTCACCTGGTTTCTCGTCTGTACATGTGAGGGTTAATAACACCTCACTGTCATGCTCATCATAAGGGTTAGAAATTACACACATAACTTGAAACTTAGTAAATGGCAGTTAAGGTTATTAATGAAGATTATCTGAATTGTGTTAGTTTGGTTTAAATATTGTGTAGGTAAGATTCTAGGATATTAACATTACTTTTCATCCTATATTTGACCACCTCTTTGTGAAGTTATAAATGTAACACTTCTCCATTTAAAATTCTAGGTTGAAAATTGAAATCTCTGACTGTTATAAAACGGGCATTTCTTCCACTGGAAATGAAAAGGTAAAGACTATGTGTTCTCTAATAGGCCATTCCAGTACCATGGTCCTAATATTTTATGATGAGAAATCTCTCAGTTTTGCTATTTCCTATGCACTTCTTGGTTGTTAGGTATAATGCTTTGTGCATTACCCCATACCTCTTATGCTCTGAAATTACTACTCCTATGCATTATAATTACGAAAGCTGAGCTGGAACATCAAGTACTGGTATCATGAGCTCTTTTTAAAAATTGAAAATACATCTTCTTTATGAGATTTAAAACAGTGAAGTGATTTGTCAGCAAAATTCTGGCTACAAACAAGACAAGAGTGCTGAATTCTAATGGAGCAGTTCTCTCTGCCAAAGGCTTTTGAATAGACACCACTAAGCTTGGAGTTTATTGACAAGCTACTACTATGGCCCATGTGAGCACCCACAAACAGAAGAAAATCGAGCCAGATGTGACTGCCACCTAGTTCAACTCCCTCAGTAGACACAGGAAGAAGGCAAGGCACAGTATCTGCTTGCCAAGATTATGTCCACAGTTACAAGGACTTTTTCAATTAAGACACTGCATATTTCTCTAAAGCAGTAAGACACAACTTTTGGCCAATCCTTAAAATGCTGTGACTGAAATTTGGGTCCCAGCCTCATGTTCTTCCCATGGTTCTCATCCTTTCTAGGACTCAGCAATTCAGTACTCCACACCCAAATCCTTATACTCAGGGATAACCTTTGCTTCAGGGTCCATGTGAAAGGCAGAATCAGGCCTGGAATCCTTGTTCCCTTCAATTCAGTCATTCTGATATCTCTAGCAGTGGCCCAGTCCTGCAGAAAGGCCTGAGAAGGTACAGGGGACTGAGTGTATATGTTACCATGGCTACTGCCCTCCCTTTACAAGTGTGATGTCACATTGTTTTGACTTGTGGTCATGGAGGAAGGGGCTGTAGGAATGGAAACCAGTGTGGTTTAAGTAATCATAGCTACTTAAATAATGGCAGGACCTTGGATTTGGGCTGCAATATTTGTAAAGTCCCTTCTAATTAAAAATTTTCCTGGTCCCACAATTTTACTTGGTGGGGAAAGATTACTACTTTTCTAGGTCAAACATACATATAATTGTTCATAATATATAATATTTTGACTTAAGGGAAAAAGCTTTACTATACTGTAAACTGTACAACCTTGGATGGCTAAACAAAAGCAAAGTCAGTGACAGGGTGACATCAAGAGCCCATATTCCAGGCAGCTAGACTCCTAGCATCCTTCACCACTGGGAACCAGAAGTATGTAATTTAGAGAAACTCCTGAGGAGACAGAAGGCATTAGCGTCAACCTTTTTTTCATAGCAATTAAGATGAAACCAGGAAAGAGATTAAAAATGTAGGTTTTCCAGGAGTAGAAAGTCTTCTGGGAATTGTTCATTGCTTAAAGGGTTCAGGAATGGGGAGGGCAACACAATGAAAGAAATGAATAAGCTGCCATTTCAGAACAATGGTCTTTTTACTCCCCCACCCCCAAAGTCCTCACAGTAAAATGCTGAGGAAAATAGATTAACTCCTTCAGGTCAATCAGACCATGATTGCACTTTCAGACAATTATTTCTCACTTCTAAAACAAGAGGTGTATTGATTCCTCATATCTTAATCCTCTTTCTGGCTGAAGTCTTTCCAAAAGTAAGCTCGGAGCTAATGAAGGGGATTCATACTTTTTGGTCAGAAACTAATTCATTAAAAACAAAACAAAACAAAACAAAACAAAACAAAACAAAACAAAACAAAGCAAAACAAAACAAAACAAAACCCAAACCAAACCAACCAATCAAACAAACAAAAAACCATTCTTATACTGCCTAGTGCCAATTCTTACTACTACAGCCTCCCTCCCTCTTGGCCTCAGTGTGGAAACTTCAGCCAGGTCTCTTGGAGCCCAGAATGATTTCAGCAGGTGGAACTGAATTTGCAGAGACTTCTTTTAAGAAGTGTGGTCTTTAAATCCACAGTCCATAAATTAAACTGATATTTAATGATAAAAAAATTGCTACATTGTTTATTTGAGCCATTTCCATGAGAGAAAACAAAATTCCCTTATAAATGGAACAAATGCCTGGGGAAATCCACCTTACAGGTGTCTATAATGTTTGGAATGCATTACATTATAAAATTCTAAGAAGCTTTTTAAGTCTTCAGTGTTTGCCCTTTGTCTTCTGAGTCAATGAATGAAAAAGTTAATTACTGTTTTGAATCTTTAAGGATTTATATTTTTTCCTGCCTTTAAAAAACAGGGCAAAATCTTTAAATGACTTGAACAAGAACAACTAACAATAACAGTGTTGCCTCTCAATTCCATGCTTATAATTGATGGTATCTAGAACACAACTTTGAAGCCTACCTCCTTCTCTTTCTTTCTCATCCTCTTCTTCCTTCAGCAGCTTGCCAATGGAATTATACCACTTAAACTGTGGGTCAGGGATGCCAAAAACACTACAATTAATCAAGGCACTGTTCCCTTCCTTGACTATGATATGGTCAGTTCTGGCAATGATTACAGGCACAGAGCCCAAGACCATGTCGGTGCCATTTAAAGTGCTGTTAGTCACACTCTTCGCAGTTGCTAGAGTGGATAGTAGGATAAAAAAGGGCACAGAAGGTAGAAAGCACACAGTCGGATGGCTCTTCAATAGATCCATCTTCTTTGCTTGCTCTGTAAGGCAACAGATGGTTTGCCAATGGAAATCTTCTATCAGACAACACACTGTTCAGAGCAGGCCATGGGACAAACCTGTCCTCGATCCATGGAGTTGGTACTTGATTAAGAATCTGTTAAAAAAGAAAGAAAGAAAGAAAGAAAAACCATATACACATAAATGTGAGCATTTTTATTTTTACAATGATATTTATAAATTATTTGTAAAATGCTACAATCCAGCTAAAATATAAGCTTACATACTTCTTAAACGAATACATACTCATCAGAAGGTATTTAATGTTAAATTATATCACAGAAATCATAACAACATAACTGTTATTTTTGGTATTAAAAGACAGTTCTTACTAGGAACTCTTAATATTTCTTATATTAAATTGATGCCACCTTACTTCATAAGAGTTCAAGAATTGATTTGGGCTACTTTTATTTATCATTATAATGTCAACCTTGTATCTTATCACCTGTCTTCTTTGTGGATGACCTGAGTGTTCACAAGAAGTGTTCCTCAACCTCTTTCTTTTTCGTAAACTAAATATGACTTCCAGTCTATTCCATTGGTCTCAACTTGGGCTCTGACAGCGTTTGGAAGGACTCCTCCAGAATCAACCTAACATTCTCATAACTCCTCAGAATATAAATTGCCCATGCTCCTAGGAGCTCCACAGATTCTCTGTTAATGTTATCTATTAACTTCTAGTCACTTAGTGAATTCCCTGGTTTCCATCTTTATCTGCCTCCTAGAAGCTTGGGAACATCAGGATGTATGGGGGGGTATTATAGGTGGTTAAGCACCTCTATGTCCAAAAATCTAACCTTCACCTGTTCTTCTACCCTCCATTTCATACTCTATCCTATGGTCAAACTCAGTCTTCAAATTCTGAACTCTGAAGCTCTAAATAACCAACTTCAGCTGGAACCAACCATTCTTCCAAATTTCTTATTCCCCTCACTGGGCTTCCTAGCCCTTCTGTTTTTCTTAAGTCCTTCTGTCTTCCTCCCCACCCCTGACCTACATGCTTTCTTTAAGTTTCAGTTCAGACCCAATCATATAAATCACAATCCCCAATATCTTTACCCTTCATCCTCATGCCACATTTACTCTGCCAGTATATAACCTTGTTGATCAATCATTTGTTATCCTGGCTCCTACAGTCAGAAGATTGGAGCGTGATTAGAAAGAATTTATAAAACCATAAATTATGGCAAAAATAAAGGAATAATCTTCAGCCCTTGCCAGGTACTTGGTGACACCTGGCAATCATTTACCCATACTCAGTTAGTTTATATTCTTTTTCCAATAGAAATCTCCAGCTAGGAAACAACCACCTCAACCAACTGGTATACCTGCCTTCTCAAAACAAAACAACAAAAACTACCTTTCTCCTACTAAGGCTTGCAGGCATGAAACTTCTCTATCCATCTCCCCACCTTCTGGGAGGCCTCCTACATCTTATGTTCAAGTCCTCATTTGCTGTTTACTACCCAAATTAACATTTTCTGTATGTCTACTGCTCTTTCCTGAAATGGCTCTAGCTTACCACTTATGCCTAGTTGCCAAGTTTGTGTCTTCTTCTTACCAAATCTTTGTGGTGATAGAATTAACTATTCTTTCTCAAAACTCTTTTCACACCCAGATCATTCTGATTGATCCTATCATTTGTTTTTGGGGGGGATGTGGTGGGACTGGGGCTCATCATTCTTTATTAATTCCTCTTCTCACTCCATGAAAGTTAGCCCCCAGAGTATCATCATTGGCCCTCTCCTTTTTTTCTTTTTAACCTACAGTTAACTTTCTAAGGTTTCATCTCATTTCCTTAATTCCCACTCATAACCTACTCACCCCACACCATGTCTTCAGTCCTGACTTTTTCCTGAGTTTCAGATTGTTATTACCAACTTCCTACTGGACATCTTTACCTGGATGTTCTACAGACAACTCAAGTTTAACATTCTAAAAGCAAACACATTATCTTATCTGCAAACCATGTTACATTTCTTGGATCCCTTATTTCACACAGGGCAACACCATCTGTGCAGGAGTTTATGGGAATATTCCCATATCAACTGTGGTCCTTATTTTCCAGAACATCAGTAAGTGTATGCCTGCCTCCAATCTTTCCCAAGGTCCTGATCCAGTCCCTAAAAGTACTGATCAAATTACCATTCCATAACCCAAGTCACAGAGTACCATTCCTTTACTTGGCAACTTTTACTGTTTTTCCACTGGCTACATTATGGAATCTCAATTCCTTACCTTTTTATTCACTCAAAAGTATTTATTGAACATCTACTATCCGACAGACACTAGTCTCAGTCCTGGAGATACAAGAATAGACAAGAAAGACCTTTCATGTTACATGGAGGTTACGTTCTCATGAGGAGACCAGAAATAAGCACATGGTGATCAATACTTTGAAACACAATACTTTGAGCACAATGTGCTCAGTGCTGAGTTAGGCAGTCAGAGCGGACTTCACTGAAGAGGTGGCTCCTGATCCAGGACAAGTGATGCCATGTCCTAGAAGAAGAGTGCTCTAGGAAACAAAAGCAAATACCCTGGGTCAGAAAGTGTGGGAGAGATTGCTAGGTGATGGGTGAGGGATGTAGACTGCCCCAGGCCACCTAGGGATTCTCAGGCCAGAGAAAGGAATTTGTATCTTATCTAATGATCATTGGCAAATCTTAACACAGGGAGTTAGTTACAGGATATGGTTTCCTTTTAAAAATCAGTTTTACTATGGTATAACTTACATACAATAAAATGTACTTATTTTAGGTGTATATTTTAGTGAGTTTTGATAATCTGTACACCTGTGTAATTTCCACAATAAACAAGATATAGAATATTTCTATCATGACCAACAGTTCCCTTGTGCCCCTTCCTAGTTTTAATACTCATAATGATAGAGTTCAATGTGGTATTTTTTGGAGGTACTCAAGTTTGAACTCAGGGCTTCATTTATTAGGCAAGCATTCTATCACTTGAGCCATGCCTCCAGCCCTTTTTGCTCTGGTTATTTTGAGATAGGGATTCATGTTTTGCCCAGTATGGTCTAGACAGAGATCCTATTTTACACTTTCAATCATAGCTGGATGACAGGAGCACACCACCACACCCAATTTTTTTCTGTTGAGATGGGATCTTGTGAACTTTTTTGCCTAGGCTGGCCTAGAACCACAATCTTCCCTATCTCAGCCTCTAGGTGGGACCAGGCATGTGCCACTGCATCAAGTTATTGGTTAAGATGGGGTCTTGAAAACTTTTTTGCCTGGGCTGGCCTCAAACCATGATCCTCTTGATCTCAGCCTCCCAAGTAGCTAGAATTATAGCCATGAGCCACCAGCACCTAGCTTAGTCCAGTTATTTTGTGTATGCCTCCAAAGGGTTAAGGTTCATCTTCTTCTCATATGGCTATCCAGTTGTTTCACTACCATCTGTAGGAAAGAAGACCCTTACTTCAAGGATCATCTTGCCTTCTTGTCAAAAACAATTAGTTGGATGTGGGTGGGTCTACTTTTAAACTCTTTATTCTGTTCCAATAATGTACATCTTTATCCTTACGACAACACTGGAGTGACCATACCGTGCCTCATTGATCTTTGTATCTGCGGGGTTTGATGTCCTTGGCAGATAGGATGTTCAGTGGACATGTCTGGTTAATGAATGGAGATTTCTCCAAGGGCAGAGAGTATCAGTCCAGTTCCATACACATTCAAACTGATGAGGTACCTGGTAGTGATCAGTTAGTTTCAGACCACATAATTCTTCAGTAGGAAAGAAGAGCATTTATTCAGTTCTGTTGATTTCCATATTCCCCTCTGGATGAGTGTCTTTCTGCCCTAGTGAGGCCAACACACCTCCCATCAGCACAAACCCTGTGGCCAAGGGAGATAGCACAGGCTGCAGTGGCATGATAGACACTGCTGTGACTCTGGAAATGCCTTTCTTTACTTGGCTGAACTTGTGGTTTCCTTTCATCATGGTGGTTGTAAGCTGACATATTCAATATAGAAGAATTGTTAGGATCATGGCCTCAGGTTTTAGACAGACTGGGCTAAGCTCCTTGTTCTTTATTGGCTGTGTGTCTTTGGTTAAGCACTTACCAAGTGCAGGGCAATGATGAGGATTCACAATCAAATGTGCATTAAGCACGTGTGTACTGCTTTGTTTGATAAACAAGGGCTATTCAAGTACAAAGCAACCTTTATTGGACCTGGGCTTCCTGAGTCTACTTGTAGTTTATGTCATTTAAAAGACATTCCTTGGTGTTGGTTTTAATACCCGATTGACTGCCATCCCACTATTAGAAGCCATGACAGATGGCTTCCAACACAATGGGTCCTTTGCAAGGACTTAAGTCTGAGAATGTACTAGCTGCCCCTCTGGGCACTTGGCTATAGTAAGCATTGTGAATGTGACAGCTGGGTCACTCATCTTTGGCTCCCTGATGCCTAGATCAACACAGACACCTGACTAAAGAGCTTGGGGGAGAACCAGAGAGACAAGGAAAAGTGAGAAAGAGGTCCTACTAAATAAACTATAACCCTTTTACACAAGTAGGGAAAATGGAAGATCAAATTGAGTTTTAAAATGCATAAGAGCTATTTTCAAACAAAAGTTAGCCCTGTGGCTGTTATACTTCTGAATACATTGTTCTAGCAAGAATAAAAGTGGGTGCTGTGGTGCTATGATGTTAGAAACACAGTGACTCTTCTGAAATTGCAACTAGCTCCTCAGAGTCCTTAAGATGTACAGAGACAGAGACTTGCATTTTAATGCAGGAAATTTAGTTAGCAAACTGGTCCCCCCATTCTTATTCTCATCCTATCCCATCGTGAAGGGCAGAAAACATAATGCATAATTTATAGGCTGTTTGTAGCAAAGAGTTTTTACTCTGAAACTGAAAATTTATTTTTGAAAATGAAGTACTGAATTGATTAACACTAAGGAATTCGTTTTGTAAGAATTCACTATACCATATACTATGCCTTTTCAGTTCTAATTAAAAAAAAAAAAAAAAAGCATTTGTTGTGTGCTGGGCACTCTTCCAGACTTAGGAGATGGGAAATGCTGTAGCTCAATAAATCACAGGCCATGTCCACTCACAGT